CTCTGCATGCTTGAGAGACCTTAGACTCTGCTTTAAATCCCTACATGAATTGTCTTATCTCAATAAAAGATTCCTGTTGTGGCTCCGATTCCTGAGCCTGTGCTGTTAGAGGAAGAGGACTCGGAAGATGAGGAGGAGGAATTGGGAATGCCTTCCTCCCCAGGACTTTCCTCTCTGGCAATTCCTTCCTCCCTGATAATACCTCAGGTTTCAGCAGACAACCGAGATAAACAGCCTGAGATTAATCAGGAGGAGGAGGGCATATCGGAGCAGCCCCTATATAGGAGGCGTGGGCGAGTCAGAGAGTGAGCTGAGTCATTGAGACACACCCCACAGGGGATAAAAGTGGGTGTGTTTTCTCTGGAAACTTTGTACAGGACAAAGTTTGCTTCTCTTCCAGGTTTCATTCTGACTGTTTCTTGTGGTCTGCTTTGGAATCTTCAGTGAGCATTTTTTTCTTGTTATCATTGCGGACTTGGCAGGCAGAGTGTGCTGGACTGCCAAGGACATTATCAGTATAAAAGATTAACTCTGTAAAGACCAAGTCTTCTTGCCTGCCTGTGTTTGTTTGAGTTTGGACTCTTTCATCTTTCTTGGAAAGAAGAAAGGTGAGACATAACAGATTCCTTTTGATATCTTTGGTTTTCAGAAGTTCATTCTTGTTGATTGAATGGGAAAAGTTCTGCAGCCTGACACCTAGTCTATCTTTGAAAACTATTTGATAGAATGCACTTTGGATTTCCAAGCTGCCGCACTGCTCCCCCCCCCCTCTTTCTGTTGACAACTTTAAAAAGACTCATATTTTAAGAGTTGACATTACACGTCTTTTCATTTTTTAAAAAAAGTACATTCTGTGTATGTTTCCTTTCCTTTGACCATGTATGCATTTTTATTTGGGTTTTTTTTTAAAAAATCATGATTTTAAAAGCAATAAAAGAGTCATCTTGAAAAGTGAAACTAAGCTCCTACCCCACCTCTACCCCCGCCTTCCGGGATTTCCGTGGGGTGGAGGGCAAAAAAGTCAAGAACGGGGGTCCGATCGTAGGTTGTGCCGCCCATCCTGACGACCCCACCTATCCATCCTCCCCTGACCCGAGTGGCAGCCTGTCCAAAATAAACTGCATGCGCCCCTCCAACAACGCCCACGGGACTCACCGCGGCTGCCCTCCAGAAGGCAGGAAGCGGCGGCCCCGAGAAGCCACAGGAGACCCCAACGCGGCACCATCGCCTCGGCTTGCAACCCAACGCAGGCAACCGCTGCCCCGACCAGCTGGAAAATCCCTCGTGAGTTGTGAATGATTAACCAGGCAAACGCTTGGAACGCCGGGAGGCAAATAATGAGAAGGCGGGGCCAGAGGAGGCGTGGCCTGCTAGAGTCCGGAAGGGAAAACCTGCCTTGCGCAGATCAGAGTGAGGGAGTGAAGGCGGAGTGTGGGGGTGTGGGGGGCGGGGAAGTCGTGGCGCAGCCTACTAAGCTGGCTGTGTGCCAAACTTCCTTTTGTGGTTTAGCGTTGGGCTAAGTTTGAAAGTCGTTGCGTTTTTTGCGGACGGAAAAGAGAGGATAAATTTAGTGACCGTTCAATAAAGGGGGAATAATTTGCAGCTCGGGGTTGCAGGAGCCTTCCTTTCAGGTTAAAGCTTTTTCTTTTTCTTTTTTGAAGGCTGTCGGTGGCTACAATTTGAAAATAAGATAACCTTTATTGTCACTTTTTTTTTTCCTGTGAGCACACTGGCAGACATTTAAAAAAAATTAAAGTCTGATGCCCGCTTTCAAAATAAATACATACACTATACCAAACACATACATATATTACTATTAAGATTACTATTAATCTTCTCATCACTCCTATCACCCATCTCCTCCCACTTGTGACGGTATGACTGTAAGTTTGTCTCTTGCATCCTTACAATTTATATGGATTGTTTCCTAGTATGATTTGATTGCTTATTGTACCCAATGACTATTAATAAGTGTTGTACCTTATGATTCTGGGCAAATGTATCTTTCCTTTTTATATACACCAAAGACAAATTCCTTGTGTGTTCAATCACACTTGGCCAATAAAGAATTCATCCATCTATCCATTCATTCATATACACATATATCCATGTGTGTATATATTTGTGTGTGTGTATAAGAGGACAATAGCGAATGAGGTGGCTGGATGGAGTCACTGAAGCAGACGGCGTAAGCTTAAATGGACTCCGGAAGATGGTAGAGCAGGAAGGCCTGGAGGAACGTTGGCCATGGAGTCGTGATGAGTCAGACACAACTTCGCATCTAACAACAACAAATATATAATGTGTGTATATACATATAAATATACATATGGTGTGCGGAGGTGGCCTTCATCCTGCATTTTAGACTGGCTAAAATGATGATTTTATATGTCATATAAAATATATGTCATATATCATCATATATGTCATATATCATCATATGTCATATATGTCATATATCATAAAATATATGTCATATATCATCATCATCATCATCTTAGCCATTGTCCTATGTACCGCCGGATGAAGGCCTCTTCCACATGTTTCCAATCAATACAGTCCTGAGCTTTCTTTGGCCAATTGGGCCTGCAATACTTGACTACACACACACACCTACAGTATGTAAACAGAGACTAATCACAGTCCATTTTGAATACACAGTGGAAAAAAGCGTCTATGAGTGAACAAGGTTGATGGTATGTGGTACAAAGCTATTACAGAATCTAGTTGTTCTGCTTCGGGTACCACAAAGACCCCTCCCAGAAGGTAACAAGGAAAACCAATCGTGGAGAGGATGTGTAGTGACCATGACAATACTGCAGATCCTGGTCAAGCAGCATATATATGCCATGTCCTAGATCAGTGGTGGCAAACCTTTTTGTTGTGGTGTGCTGAAAGCGCAAGCGTGTGATAGTGCGCACGCAGCATCCACAATGCAATGCGCCCTACCCCCGTGCATGCAGGTGCAGCACCCCCTCCTCTTTACCTGCACTGCGCATGCGTGTGCCTCCCAGCTGATTTTCAGCCCATTTGAGGCCATTCTCGCTCCCCGGAGGCTCAGGGGATGCCTCTGCAGCCTCAGGAGGCTGAAAACCGGCCCGTTTCGGCACTTCCAGTATTTCCTGAAGGCCCGTTTTTCAGCCTCCCGAGGCTGCAGAGGTTTCCTTTGAGCCTCCGGGAGGGCAAAAACGGCCTCAAACGGGCCGAAAATCAGCTGGGAGGTGCGTGCATGCGCAGTGCAGGTAAGTTTGGCTGGGGCCTGCGTGCCTGCACAAATGGCTCTGCCAGGGGGGTGGGATTCAAATTTTTTAACAACCGGTTCTGTGGGCATGGCTTAGGTGGTGGGCATCACTTAGGTGGTCATGTGACTGGGTGGGCATGGCTTGGTGGTCATGTTATTGGCTGGGCGTGGCCAACTCAATATCACTCACATCGAGGCACGCATCTCCTCGCCTGGCCTCTCATGACTGTGGGGATGCTGCAACAGTCGTAAGTGTGAAAAATGGTCATACGTCACTTTTTTTCAGTGTCATTGTAACTTTGAATGGTCACTCCACACAAGCAAAGTACCAGCAGAGGGGGAAAAACTCCAGAGAAGTTCCTGAGACAGGAAGTCTAGTCCTGCCAAGAATGTAATAAGGGTTAACGGAGAGGCAGTTTCTGTAAGCAACACCAGAATGTTTCCTTCCTGCCTTCCTTGCAGGATTAGACTAGTGATTTCTTCTAACAACCGATTCTCCAAACTGCTTAGAATGTTAACAACCGGTTCTAGAGAATAGGTGTGAATTGGTAGAATCCCACCCCTGGGCTCTGCGTGCCACCTGTGGCAAGCATGCCATAGGTTCGCCATCACGGTCCTAAATAGAACGAAGTGAACAATTCAATAATCTTTTATTTTTTAAAAATGTAAAATAAACTACATCTGATTTTTTTTTTCTCACTTCGTTTCCTTTCCTTCCCAAAGTAACCAGGATAATTCCAATGCATTTCTCCATGTCTGGGCTTCTTAAGTTTTTTCCAAGAATACATGTATCTAGTGAAAAGCTATCCTTGAAATGTATACCTTCTCTCGCTTCCCTTGATGGCCAAACTGTGACTTGGCCTAGCCAGAGGCTGGATTTGTTTTTTCCCTAGTGCCAAAGTAGCCAATTTATCACACTGTTCTGACCTAGGCTTCCCCAAAAAGCACTAAGTCGACCCTTTGTCCGGGCAAAACCTCTTTTATTAAACGAAGGTGAATTTCTTGCATTCGCATTCAGCCAAAGGTCTGGCAGTCTTTCAAGGGTGTAATTAGGAGCACAGACCTTATCTAGCTTGGAGAGCTGCCAAGTAAATATTTTCAAACGCAGTGCTGACAAGGACTCAGCACAGTCTCTGAGATGCAGAGACAGATGCTGAAACGAACTGTTTCCTGAAAAAAAACCCTCTCCTTTTGCTCCTCTTCTAATCCCTATGGGAGGGGCCATTCACCGTCCACCTGTGGCTTTAACTCCCACATCCACCCTTAGTTCATAATTGTTCTTTTCTTTTGGCAGCTCTGTGCATGCGCAGGCTGGGAACCGGCTCCAGCTGCTCCTTCGCCTCACTACTGTCCGACTTCGAAGCCAGCTGATGACTGCCACACTGCCTTGGCCTCATCTCTGCCTCTGACGTAGAGCCTTCGTCCGAGCTTCCTTAGCCTCCAGGACTGGCCCGGGTTCCTCCCCAACCTCCTCACTGGCTGACTCTGCTGCCAGCTCCGCCAGTCAGCCGCAGGCAGGCCACAACACACACAAGGCAGGAAAAGTTTTCATATACTTTTGGAAAATGAAAGGCAAATGATCGTTAGCAAGCAATAGGCAACAAGCAACAAAGTATTCACACGCCTAGTACAGGATAGCACTCCCTGGCGGATTCATTACTAAAAAAAATTACAGTCTTTGCCCTTCTGTTTATAACTGTGTGCACAGCTTTCTAGCTAATTTATTTGCAACAAAAAAAGGAAGTTAGAGCAATCTAACCTGTTCACAGTAGGAAGAGAGACCAGTCTTGTTTCCACTGTTGTGCTCCTTTCAGAATGATACGGGATGATGGTTTTTTTGTGGTAAGACTATCAAGTACCATAGCCTTCCAGAAATTTTAGGGACAGGATGTGAGGGCCAAGATTGAGTGGCCCCCCAGAACAGAAACATTTAAGAAACAGGAGGGAGCAAAACGAAAGTTGTTCATCAGAATGAGGGTTTCTCGGGCTGAAATCAGCTATGCCGGTTCTCCATCCTGGGTAAGCTAACTTTCAAGGCCTGTATGTGAACAGTGGAGATGCAAGGCCCAAAATTGTAAGAAAACAGAATAAGACAGGTTGTGATGACAAACGTAACAAAATCCAAAACGTAAATAAATGTCTTTTAATGCCTCCAACTTGGCCCCACCGTTCAATAATACTCAGTTGGAGATAAAATGTACTCAAAAATAGTCTTCAAAAGAGAGCAATACAGTCCGAACTTAATGAGCAGATAGAGGTGAAATAAAAAACCAAATTACAATGATGAAATTTCTACAACGGAACAGGAGTATTTACCATATTCAAGCAGATAACAAGGCACAGTGTTGGAAGGACGTCGACCAAGATAACTTCAGACCAAAATAAAACACGCTTTGTTTCCAGCATTTGCCAGTACGCAGGTCAAAACTCTTATTCATTTCTCACACCTGCAGCCCATGAAGAGGATCAAGGCCCTCTCCTCCCAAGGAGACTACGTCTCTCCCTTATCCTCTCCTCCCTGCGTGCCCTAGGATGGATAAAGGGATGGGCGTGGGTCCTCCTTTGACTGCTCAGCCGGACTCTGCCCTTCCCCAGCCTCCTCCACAACCTCTGGAGCCACATTTCCACTCCGTCGGCTGTTCCTCCTCTCACTCAGAGTCAGTCTCCATCAGGGGCATGACACATGTCCCAAAAGTGCTTTTCCAAAAGGAATTGGAATGAGTTTTTTTTTCTCTGAAAATGTTTCTCTTCTCATCCAAGAAGTTTCTTCGGTTCAATAATGAACCGAAGAAGTTTCTTGGGTGAGAAAATTAAAAGCATTTTTAAACATTATTCAGTTCAATAATGAACTGAAGAAGTTTCTTGGACGAGAAATGAAACATTATTAAAAGCATTATTAACCATCATTCAGTTCAATAATGAACTGAAGAAGCCTCTTGGATGAGAAGCGAAATGTCTTCAAAGAAAAACCAGAAAGTCTAGTAACCTCTTGGGGAAAAAAAAAAACCACCTTTGAGATGGTTGCCAAAAATGTGTGTGCACACATGCCTGCACACATAATGCAATGCGTGTGCAACACTCCCTGCCCCCTGTGCATGCATGCGCCTCCCTCGTGCGTGCCCTGCCCTCTGTGCATGCGCAGCAGATACCCAACAATCAGCTGGCTGGCGGTGTTGTGGTTAGCCTGCAGTAGGTGCGGACGGCTGAGGAGAGCGAGGACTCAGATGAGGGGCCAGGACCATCAGGGAGTGGACTGCTGCCTTCAGAGATTTTGGGGGCTGGCAGCAGCGATGAGGAGGTTCCCGAGGAACCTGTGCCAAGTGCACGTGCGCGCAGGGTTGCTCGCAGGAAAGAGCAGCTGCAGCAGCACGGGCGACTCGGGAGTAAGGCTGCAAGGTAATGGCCCCTCCTTCAAGAAGATAAAAGCCAGCTGTGAAACGAACGTTCTTTGCAGGAAGCAAAGATGTTTTGAAACTCAGCTTCGTGGACATTACAGTATCTTAAATTGGTATTTGAAGACTCATGTTATGAAATATTTGTTATCTGTGATTCTTGGCAGTCTCGTACAGTTTGGGCGAAGCTTGTGCTTATCAAAGTTAATTAATTTGCAGCAGCCTTTTAACCAGGGATTCGTAAGAATCATTAAAAGGTTTCTGTTCCCTTTGGTTCGTGTTTGTTTTTATTGGAAAAGGGTTTGGTCAGAACAGGCGGGAGGCATGCGTGCACATGTAGAATGGTTCTGTTCCAGGTGACGGCTCGTGTGCTGGCAGAAATGGCTCTGCGTGCCACTTCCAGCATGCATTCCATAGGTTCACCATCACGGTACTAGGTTGTTGCATGCTAGAAGCAGAATGGAAGAGATCCAAGAAACAGAACTGAATCCCAGAAGCACAATGGAGCTTTTGCATATCACAGGAGGATTCTGGGAGAGTGAAGAGGAGCTCACTGTGACTAAGCAAGAAGTGGGATTCTGTCTCATTGCATCTAGCTGGTAAATAGAGAGCTCCCTTTGTAAGAAAAGACTCACCGGTCAGAGTCGTGAAGTGAAGCAGCAAGCAAGTTTATTGCATGTGAAATACGTTCTTGCAAGAACGGGTAGCTAGCAATGTAGGCACACAGAGGAATACATTTCTCCAGCTTTTTATAAGCAATAGCACTCAGACTTATATACCGCTTTATAGTGCTTGACAGCCCTCTCTATGCGGTTTACAGAGTCAGCCTATTGCCCCCAACAATCTGGGTCCTCATTGTACCCACCTCGGAAGGATGGAAGGCTGAGTCTACCTTGAGCCTGGTGAGATTCGAACTGCCAAATTGCAGGCAGTCAGCAGAAGTAGCCTGCAGTACTGCACTCTAACCACTGAGACTCCTATTTATTTTATTCCCTTCATCCGAACCACAAATCCCTCCCTGCAGCCCCCTTTGACAAAGACCACAGGGTTGCAATCTCTCTTTCCATGGATTTCCCCATGTTTAATCTATTTCCCCACCTTTTTGCCCGTTTTCCCTTTTTCCAGACTACCTTTTGTCCCTTTCTTAATTTCTTAATGTATATTTGTTTCCTTATAATCCTTGCAGCATAAGCATAGTAAATTGAGGCAAGTGGTTAATTAATTTCTCCTCTATATACTTAACTAACCTGCCTGTCCGAGCTGACTGGCTTATCGGAACAGCCAACCTTTCCTGTTTTCCAGCCTCAACCTTTTTACCCTTAGTGTCCCAATGTCCTACTGAACTTTTAAACCCACCTCTCAAAAACTGTTTTCGTTCCAAAAACACTACCTCCGTCAATTTCGTACACCTTGTTGTGTTTGCATAGTGCCGGAGGAAGGAGTGAGGGGTGTTTCTGTGTGTATGTTTGCACTTTTCCCTCATGCTTTCTGACTCTCGCTTGGCCTAGTCCCTGCAGTTTCCTTGGCGAGATTTCCAAAGTGCTTGGCAGACTCCAAAGTGGTTCTTTTATGGGGTGAGGGCAGGTTTATTCTCTGCCCAAATTACAGGCTGTCCTCGATTTAACCCCAGTTCATTTAGCGACCATTCAAAGTCACGTCACTGAAAACAAGTGACCTATGACCGTTTTTCAGAGTTACCTTTGCAGCATCCCCACGGTTGGCGGGAATCAAAATTCAGACGCTTGGCAACTGGCTCATACTTACGACTGTTGCTGGGCCGAGGTCATGGGAATCAACATTTCTGACCAGCGAAGTCCATGGGGAAGCCAGATTCACCGAACAACCAGGTTACTAACCCATTGATGTCTCGCTTCACAACAGAAGTGTTGGATCAATTGAGGTCACAAGTCAAGGACTACCTGTCCTGCCACACTCAGGCCGTTTAATAAGGCTTCTCACCCGTGTGGGTTCACCAATGTAAAGTCAAATCTGCCTTGACCATGGAACTCCTTCCATAGACAAAGCATACATGGCTTTCCATTCGTGTGGTGTCTCATAACTTGATTTTACCCCAAAAACTCAGGGTGCAATCCGAGCATCTGCATGGTTTCTCTCTGGTGTGAAGCTTCTGACGGTGACATAAAAGTTTGTGATGGGGCTGAAACTCCATCCATACTTCAGGCCACTGTCCCAAAAGTGCTTTTTTTCAAGAGGCAAACTGGACGTTCTGGTTTTTCTTTGAAGACGTTTCGTTTCTCATGCAAGCAGTTTCTTCTGCTCTGACTGGAGGGTGAGGAATGGAAGGATTGATACTCCTTGCAGACAGCTGGTCATTTGCATTCTTTTTAGAGTCGTTAAGGTCCCCTGGAGGTTTATCTGTGTCCTCCAGGAAACCTGAGTGGTGCAAACAGGCGTGAAGCCTTCTTGGAACTGCTGAAAGGACTGTGTTGTAGACTGGAGATACCGTGTTTCTCCAACAATACGGCCTCCACCAATAGGAAGACCCAGCATGTTTTCTAGGCATAAAATCAAATTAAGCCCCTCCCCCCAAATTTAGGCCTAGTTTAAAACATGCAAAATGGGGGGAAGGGTGGGGGGACTTGCCGTTAGGAGCACCCCGCGGGCAGTAATTCCTCGCCACCAGCCGCTCCTAACGGGTGATCATGGGGAAGCGCAGAGAGCTCCCTACTCCCACCAAACACCTTTGCTGCACACCCAAGACCTTTGGCACCTGCCGCTGTTGCTTTCCCTTCTGCCCATTCTGCCACACGTTTGGAGCTGCCACTTCCGTGTTTGGAGCTGCCGCCGTGTTTGGAGTGCTGCCGCCATTTGGAGCACCGCCCCCACGTTTGGAGCTGCCACTTCCGTGTTTGGAGCTGCCGCCGTATTTGGAGTGCTGCCGCTATTTAGAGCACCGCCCCCACGTTTGGAGCTACTGCTTCCGTGTTTGGAGCTGCCGCCGTGTTTGGAGTGCCGCCGCCATTT